ATTTTCAAGAAAAGTGGCAAATATTTATCACGTATCCTGCCTCTACAGTGCTGGGCAGAATCATAGAGAAATTCTAGAAAATGGGGTATTGTTTTTTGGCGAGCGAAGTCTTTTGGAATAAAACTCAAATGTGACTTTCTCCACAAATTATCATCTACTTCAGCAGGCTGAACTGCAAAAAAAACCAAAAACCCAAAAAGTGCACACCAAATCTAAACTGGACGCCATGTTCGTCGCTTTCTTTAGCTTCCAGATTTCGATTTCGTAAGAACCCAACTCCAAATATAAAATATACCGCATGATCAGATTCTTTGGACACGCAATTATTGTCCTTTTTTCTTCCCAAAAATCTTATCTTACAAGTTTTTCGATTACTTTACTAATGAAGACGCTGAAGGTCTTTTGAATTTAGCCATTTTATTAACAGTCAACGTTTAGGGCATATGACATACAATTCAATTGATCAGGAGACCCGGACCAGGCAACAGATTAGATCAGTCCGTCAGGTATTAGAGAATATATCTATTAAGAAGGAAGATTTCTACAGGAACAAAACATTAACCATTCTGCATTCAGAAAGCTAAATTGAACTTCTTTAAAGTCAACAGAGACAAACATACGGTGCGCTTCCAAATTTTGAGTTGAATCTCTTAAAATCAGAAGCCAACGAAAGCGGTATGAGTAGGAAACAAGGAAAATGTGTTTACCATTTTGACCAACATTCGTATGTATGATTTCCAGCACTGTATGTCTATGTATTTTGCTTACGGAAACCCACTGGTATGAGAAAAAAACAGTGAAAGTCACGCCCACTTATCATTGATTCTCTTGATCATTGATTAAAAGTTTTCATTTCATTTATTTACGCAATGTTCTATGCTTGCGAATATATAACAATATATAACTCTTAATTCAGGAATTAGAAGAGCATATGAAGTAGACATAGATAGGAACTCACTCAGTGTTCTTTCCTTTACTCTGCATGGCTTCGAAAAGAGGATTGCGTCCTTGCACACGCATACTGAGCTCTGCACCAAAGTTGAGTAAGGTAGCAAAACAGCGTGGATTTGCCGCTCTTATAGCCAACATTAGCGGCACATATCCTTCGTTATTAGTCTGGTTAAGAAGTACATGGCAACTCTCGAACTCCCATAACAACTGTAAAGAAGCGGAAAGGTGGTTTCGCCTGACGATCAATGCAAAAAATAGCGACTCAGAGATGACAATGTTGAGACTAACTTTTGAAATTAGGAGTAAGACTGTACTATACATTACCGCACAAAATCTATAACAAACGAATGCTTTCTACTCGAAGCGGCCATTCAAAACCAGATATATTCCATAATAACAGATTGGGTATGGGAAACTCAAACTGTCTTTCATATCTGCGAAACAGTTTCCTGAAAGTTGATATGGGCACTTGTTTCCACGGGGCCCTTCAATAAGTGGTACTTGTGCATTACGAGTAAGTGATAGGGTGGCGCAGTGGTAAGTGTCTTGGTTTGCGAAGTGCGATGCAGGTTCGACTCCCGACGTCGACAGACGTTTTGCGTTTTTTGCATTAATGTATATTTGCTTAATAAATCTTGAAACAACTGATTCGACTATCTAGTAGTCATGAATATTTATGTCATGATAAGAGCATTTCCCTTTCCAAACTTCTGCTCAGTTATTTCTCCTGATTTCATAGGATGTTACAGTGCAAACAATCGTGACGCAGAACTTCTCCTTTGTTGCGCTGACTGTGAGAAGATTTGATGTATTAACTCTTTATAGAAGACTATCACATATGTTCATGATGTAAATAATTTCAAATTAACATCTGATCATTGGTTTCGCTTG